AAAATATTCTGCAGATATATTTCATGAGATATTAACATGTTGGAGAAAAAATAGAAGTGTGTTGATATGCTACATATATAGAGATTTGGGTATGTGAATATAAGTGTTGAGACTGATACATTTAAATAATTAAAAATATGCACTCTTTAATTATTCATTTTACACATATTAAAAAAACAATAATATTAAAAAGTATTATATAAATTGTGGGGGAGGGAACAATAAGGAGGTCACGACTAGCGTTTGCTTTTGATGGGAAGATTGTAAGGGAGTGTAACACATAAACGGATTCAAAATTTAAAGTAGTTTTTATAATGATTTTAAATAATATTATAATAATAATTGAGTTTACACACAAATTAATATTTATAGATATCTGAACATTAATTTCTTATCATATATGAACATAACATATTTAATATCATAAAATTAAAAATACTTTGATATATAATTTTACTTATTTTATTTAAAATTACACGGTTCAAAAAACTTCTTTATTTTCTTAAATTTCATGTTAGGTTAAAATTAGACAAACGAGATACAACAATAATTACTGAACTCATATATAAATATTTAGTCAAAATAAATTTGTAAAAAGAGAAGAGCGTGTGGGGTAGGCAGACAAAAAATATATTCTTAGTTCTTTATCTAGCTGGACCATTTTCTTTTTATTAATTTATTTTTGCTATTTTTTTTCTCTTTAAAAAGAAAACTATGCCTTTAATTATGCTTAGATTTTTCTTGTCTAATTGAGTTTATAAGTTGTACGTCGGTGCCTAATATTTGTCAAAATCAAGGTGTTATATGTGGACTTTTTTATAACATGTCCAAGTCAAATAGTAAATCGTAACAAATATAGAAAATTAAGATTATATTCGAATTTTCCAAAATAAATAATATTGAAAGTGTCGAATTGATGGATTAGACTGATTTTGGGTGGGTTAAATTTCATTGAGTTAATAAATTGACAAATTAATATAATTTATCTTATTAGATATGGATAGTTTTTAATATCAGTCGCAAATTCATTAATTTCGATTATAATTTTATATTTAACTGTAAATATTTATATCTATTCAATATTATAATATGAATTTGAAATTGTTATTCAATTCACAAATTTAAAATTTTGAATCCGTATCGTATTAATCACGGTGAGGTATGAGGAGCACAAAGAAGCTAACATGTATTATATGGTCCACAAATATGATGAAATATATGAAGGAATCCACTTTATGAAAAAATGACATTACCTTTTGATTTGTAAAGGCCTCAGGTACTGGCAAATGTTTCTGAAAAAGCAGCAACAGATAAGAACTGAAAATAGTCCATGTCAGCATAGTAAAAAAGCAAATAGAAAACAGAAAAAAAAAAGGAAATAAAATTAAATACAAGAATGAAAACATATATATTTATTTTCCATTCGTTGTCTGATACTTATATTGAGATTCGACTAAATCTGAATTTGCTTCGAAAAATTTTATATCAGGAGACAACATGCTCGTCAAAAGAGGATGAAATATAATATTTACTACTCTGTCACTATCAGTTATCACAGCTATATATTTTCTGTCAGCTTTTAAGTTCTATGATTGGGTAAAACAGCCTTTGGAGGTGTTCATTTTGTACTGTCAGCTTTGCTGTCTTGAGGTTTTTCTAGTAAATATTAGCGATCGATAGAAAATTTTATGATTTATATATGATTAAAATTATTCTTTTAATTTATGTATTTATAGTAAACGTTGAAGCTTCTTGTATTTGTACTTCTTAATATTTTGAATCTCTTACTTAAAATTTTGACTCCATCGTTATAAAATGATTAAAAAGAAGAAAAAGTGGGAGACTAAGAAAGCTTCACATGTACATATAGCAAAAAATGGTTGTTTAGATAGTGAAACCAAATTTCATCTTAAAAGTACAAAGACCCCTTTTCTTCATTGATTATAACTTCCAAACATACACCGTTTGAATATTAAATTTACTATTCATGGAATATATGTTCTTGTGTTATAAGTTGAAGTAGTTATATTTCCTTCTTATTAGTCCATCTAGATTATCAAAAAATAGGAAAGAGAATAGAAACACTTCACAAATTAAAGAATTAATTAAAAGTATATATTCTACAGGTTATATACAAGAGGAATATACTCAACGTCATTTCATAACTAGAGTTTGAAGAGGATAACGTCTATCGTACCTTAGCTTATCCCTACTTTATACAACAAAGAGGTTGTTTCTGATTGTCGGTAGACTACTTTTTTAGGTATGTGTATAAAATAGAAAATGTATGAAGTTTATCTTCTAGAAATATACGAATACAATTTTTTTAGCATAAAAATAATCCTAAGATTTTTATAATTAGTTGTACAAGCCAAAGAATAGAAATAAATAAGAAAAAGACACATCATGCATGATTCATGGGTGGCCTATTAAAATTGTTTAAGTTATTAAGTAGTACTTATTTAACGTATTCTTAAAGTTGTATATATCTTTCCCTTTAATCATGTGTTAAGTTATCTTTTTACTATTTATTATGTGAAGCTTATGATTATACATCACTTTTTTCTGTCTAAATATTAATACTTTTGAGAATCATTATTTTACATACATATAAAAAAAGGAATTATGTGGACAACCGCATTATGATTTTTCCAAACTTTTTAATTTTTCTTCCAAGTGTAATACAATATATATAAAGTTTGATACGTGTTGATAGCAAAAGTTTTAAAGGAGAAATGTTATAAGTTTTGAATGAAAATCTTTAGAAAATGATGAAGGTAATTCTGATTATATATGTTGGTAGCGAAACTTCTTGTCATGTGAGTAATCTTCTTCGTTATATATAAACTATGTGAAATTTGAAAAATTAATAGCTAGACGGTAAGACTTTGAGCACCTAAACTATAGTTTTGTAATGACACCATTAACTGAATAATATATATGATAGGTGGGAGGTGATGATATACAGTTTTGAAAATTCGCTCTTTCATCTAAAAATACCTAAACTCCGCACCAATTATTCGACAAGGTTGGTAGTTTATTTGAGGCGGATTCTTTTTATTCTTTTTGTAAGAATATTTGGGTGAGTAAATTAAATGACTACTTGAAGACAACCTTGCCCATTTTCAATCATAGAAGGCATCTTCAACAAGGATATGGATATTTCTTCTCTCATCTACTTGCAACTACTCAAATAATTACTTTTTCTCCCTATTCGATATTTTATATCTATGTTGGGGTTTGTTTAAATCTGAATTCTCGAAGGAAAAATGTCACATAAAATGTAATTATATTAATGTATTTCTTAATAAAGACAAGTTCAAATTAAGACTCGAGACATCTGATTTAAAATAAAAAAATCTTTATTACCAACACATATATTGTTTATATCAAATTAAACCAGGTAAAAGACAGGAGATTAATCTTGATGGAATCATCATTGTTGTTCCAAAATATTACAATTTATGATTGATTTTTTTTTTTGGCTTAAATCCTACATCCAATAATACCTTAAAAATACATTTCTACTATATTATAAAAGAGAGTTTAGGGCCAATTATAATATATAATATTACCTTTTGTCCCAATCTTGAATATTATATATTATATACTTGGACTTTTCCATTTGACAAATATATATATCATGATAATTGACAACATAAAATATTTCAAAAATAAATACATATAAAAAAATTCGATTGATTCTTGAAATTAATCTATCGTTAAAAATTATGTATAAAATACAATAAATCGTGATAATTGATAACTTAAAATATTTATTAAAAAAACAGAAAAAAAGAAATTGACTGATTCTTAAAATTAATCTATCAATGTCACATAAAATGAGACAAAAGTAGTAATATGTATTATTTAATGTGAAATTATTGAAAACTACGTAAAATGTATTGTAAATCTTAACAATTAACAACATTTGATTGACTCTTGAAATTTTATCTATGCTACATAAATTGAGACAAGCGGAAATATATATTAAGTATTTAAAAATTACGTACAACCATATTGCTTTCTGTACGCTTCGAATTATCGTGGTCACTTTTTAGGATAATACAAGTCTTGTACATTTTCTATTTATTTTTTTAATATTATAAATCGCAATAATTAATAATTTAAAATATTTAAAAATATATTAAAAATTGAGTTGGTTTCGGGAATTTTATTTATACTATATAAAATGGGACAAAGGAAGCAACATATATCATTTACAAATGACTTAAAAAGCATTAAAAATTACAATAATTACCAATTTAAAATATTTAAAAGCTATATAATAAAATAGGTTCACTCTCAGAATTCTATCAGGCTCACATATATTGGGACAGAAAAAATAACACATATCATTTTAAAATTACCAAAAAAGTATTATAAATAATAATAATTAACAACTTCAAATATCTGAAAGACATTTTAAAAGGGTTAATTTTGTAATTTTATCCATATCACATAAATTAGGACAAAGTGACCAGTAATATAGGTTATTTGAAAGTTTAAAAATATGATAAATCACAATAATTAATAACTTAAAACATTCTTTTAAAAAAAATTAAAATTTGGATGACTCTCCAAATTTCATTTGTGTCACATAAATTGAGACAACAAAAATAACATATATTGGGTCCATTTAAATTTATTTGTCTAATTTTTTTTACTATTTTTTATATTTAAAAATTGCGTAAAAATACTATAAATCATGATAATTGACAACATAAAATATTTCAAAAATGTTGTATGTGGGTAGTCTTATTATGCCTTAAATAGCGTCAAAGAAAGTACAGGTTTGTGATAAAAATATGTATTTCTTTATCCACGCAAACAATCGCTTCAAAAAACTCCGTTAGTAGCCCCAAAACATACCATTTTATATTATTGGGCCCGTGCATAGCACGGGCAACATTATCTAGTACATTATTATAAACCCCACTTTTCATAGATCTACACTTGCCATTTCCACCCTTCTCTAATTTTCTTATTTTTTTTATAAATATATATATAAAATTCTATTCCTATACTAAAAATAAACAAGTAAACATAATTTTGACCCAAATATTACATCATGAGAAACAAAAAAAATATTAAAATAAAGGGTTAAATAGTCTTTTTCACTTCTCCCCTTCATTTGCCTTTTTTACCCTTGGTTGAATCCCGTAATAACTCACATACCACTTCACAAATTTCCTTAACCCACTTGACAAATCAGTTGTAGGCTTATACCCAAAATCTCTTAACGCCAGGCTCACGTTAGCATGCGTAAACGGAACGTCGCCGTTTCGTGGCATTTTAATAACATTCTTTTTAGCCTTAAGATTCAATAAATTTTCGAGAATTGCCACTAACTTCTTCACCGACACAGGTGAAGTATTCCCCAAATTGTAAACCCTCAATTGCGCCGGACCTCTCTTCTTTCCGCCGCTCCCGGTGCTCTTCTCCGCCGTATCCAACGCGCCGACGCATCCTTTTACTATATCATCGATGTACGTGAAGTCACGCGCCACCTCTCTATCATCCTGAGTGACGTACACGTTAATCGATTTCCCCTGAATCATATCCTTTGTGAAGAAGAAATACGCCATGTCTGGTCTTCCCCAAGGTCCGTAAACAGTGAAGAATCTCAAACCTGTTAATGAAAGCCCGTAGATATGGTTATATGTATGTGCAATTGCTTCCCCTGCTTTCTTCGTTGCAGCGTATAAACTCGCTGGTTGATCTGTTCTGTGATCTTCGGAGAATGGAACTTTGGTGTTCAATCCATAGACAGAGCTCGATGAAGCCCAGACTATTGCAGGTTGTGGATCTGCAGCTTTAGCGATTTCTAACAGATTTACAAACCCAGCTACGTTTGAGTTTACATAAGAGAGTGGATTCTGCATCGCGTAACGAACACCTGCTTGTGCAGCTAGATGAAGGATATGAGTAAAAGGAACAATGTCGAAAAGCTTTTTCAGAAGCTCTGTATCATTAATATCACCTTCCACAATGAAAATCTGATGCTTCGTTAACTGATCTTGACGAGCACGTTTCAATGAAGGATCGTAGTATGAATTGAAATTGTCTAGACCTAAAACACCATCGCCACGTTTCTTCAATGCTAAAGAACAATGGGAACCAACGAACCCAGCTGCTCCCGTCACGAGGACGGATAGCCCGTTAGGGCGGTGGGGAGTCGAAGAGTGACGAACTTGTTTCTCCCACGACGCCCCACCGCCATAAATGGTGGAAGAAAGGAGATTATGGGTAGTGGTGTGAATATTGTTGTTGAAAGTTTTTTCCGAAGTTAACGGAGGGTAATTTATAGTGAAGAAGAAAATAAGTAAGAGCGCCACTAATAGAGTGACACGAAATAAAAGTTTAGACGATGCAGCGATGAGTTTTGTACTATTAACTTTTCGAATATAGCTGTTGTAGCGCTCTAGCTTTGTGGTTTTGCTTGTGTCAGGTGGCGACGCCATTATAGGTTTGAAAACTTTTGCTATATATGTATATGATATCAACCCACTGGATAATTAATTTATCGCTATGATATTGCAGAATATGAGAGAAAAAGAATGAAGTGAAATGGAAGGTGTATGGTTATTGGGAAATGTAAAAATGGGGAGTGCTTTGGATTGAGCAAGCCCCTGGAAAGAAGAGGAAGGAAGAGATGATGTTTATAAAGGAAGAAAAAAAGAAGAAGGATTGGTGTGTGTGTGAAAGAAATAAGAGTGGTGGACCAAAGAGAGGGAGAGTGGTATTGAGTTGTAGTTGGTTGGAGGCCACTTTCTTTTTTTAGTATTCTACAATCTATTTTTTTTAAAATTAAAAAAATAATGTAAATAAAAGTTTTTAAAAATTAGGTGAATTGGTATTTTGATCTCCATTTTCTATAGTATTTGATCTCCATTCTCTATAGTATTTTGATCCAAAATTTGATCTTTATAACATGTTTATGTTTGACTTAATACAATTTTAAAAATTATAAATACAATAATAAGTTAACTATATATTATTCCTTTCATTTCATATTACTCATTATGTTTTTTACACTTTCATCTTTTACTACTTAATGATTATCTCTCTTCAATTATAAATTACACTTTCTTTAAGATCAAAATCAAGCTAATTTTATTTTAAGAACATTCTTCACTAAGGGTAAATGAGACTAAAATATTTAATAATTTCATTTTAATTTTATGAAATGATAAATAAATTGGGACAATTACTTTTAGTAATCTTGACAACTAATATGAGACGAAGAGATTAAAATTCGTCTTAATTATGTTGGAAAATGAATTGAAAATAATTAAAATATGAATAACAAGTATAAAATAGGTATAAAATGGTCAATCATCTCTTGAATTTTTAAATTTGATGAAAATGGACATATTTGTAATATCATAAACAAGTAAAAGTAATGAAAAACAAACAATGATTTGAAGAAAATGCACAATACGCAGATTTCACTCTTACCTTCGCGAGTTAGAGGGAGGCATGGAGTATATTATAACGGAATTTTGAAATGCAAAGCCAGATATCTTGGATTGCACATTGGATAGTGGATACTTAGCTAAGCACATTTAATGAAACATAAAATTACATCTGCAAGTGGTGAAACATAAGTAATTTTCTGATATCATTATAAAAATGAATCATGGAAATATTTATAGATTTGTGGTTAAGAAAAGACTTTATTTGACTCTCAAGAGTGAATAATAATTAGGTCATACTGAGTAAATAAAAATAACTTGGCATTAAAAAAAATATTACAAGTAGCTACATAGATATAAATAATAAAATACTACATTAATGAGTAATTAGAATTTTCTTTCTAGGAAATAAGCCAAATTGGTCCTTAACTTTTAGATATTTATATATTGGTCCTTGCATTTATGTAAGAGTTGAAATGCCAGCTAAAAATTGACTCAAATTTGTATAAAGAATCTCAAAACCATGTGAGACACACATGATGAATTTATGAGAACTGTAAACACTGATCCTTGACTTACGTACTCTTATTCAACGTTATACGACTCACGAATGGATTGTGGTGCAATGATGAAACTATTCCATCTTTAATCAGAGGTTATATTAAGGTTGAGCTTTGGATATGGAAAAAATCATATTGGAAACGTCAATTTTAAATGGACCTTGCAATGCGTGATCCATTCAAACTTTTTTTAAAAAAATTATCACCATATGATGGTGAGACCTCTATATTGATGAATAAAATTACAAAGCTAAGGAGAGCTTAAGCTCGGCAAAGATCGTGTGAGTGTGCAGTTATGCTTCGGATGCTTCACCATAGAATAGATCGATCCAGTTCCCGTTCTTTTTCGGTGCACTCGCTTTATATCTCCGACACACAAGGAAGGACGCGGTGGGAAGGAGCCTCGACTGGGCCAGCATTGATGAAAAAAGATACTAACTAAAGTATAAAAAAATCGTTACAAATGAAGCATGAAGAAAGTATGATATACGCAGATTTTATCATTGTGGAGGTAGAAAGATTTTTCTGATAGACTTCGGCTCAAAAGAAAAGTTTACGAAACAAGATTTGCAAGAACATATGACTAGATACAAGGCAAATGAAATAATTAGTAATACATATTGAAGAATAAGAGACTACGTGACTACTATCATGACTAAAACTAATTAATTTTACTGAAATAGTTTATTAAAAAATGTTTAAGTTAATTAGAAATTACTATTGTTGATTTAATTGATCCTTTGTCTACAAAAATAATGACTTTAAAGATGGAATCTGAAAAAGTCATTATCCTCTTGTTTTACTTCAATTATTATTATCATTTTATTGTTGTTGCTTTCTATTTTCCCTGTTTTATCTTTTAGTAATATTTTCTTTTATATTATTACGAATAAAGTGTATGACCGTTTGTTTGTCACCGACAAAATATTTTAAACTAGAGAGCTTAGGCAATTATAATTATTAATTTTATACACCTATTTAACTAATGAAGGGTTATAAATGGTTTAGATCTAGGGTTTAGTTTGGACAAGATTAAAAAAAAAAGTTCTATTATTTGTCATATTTTGTTATGTTTTGACACAGTATTCTTAATTGAGGTGCCAGTAGAGACCACAGAATGACCTATAGAGGTGTCAAATAGATGGATCGACTATATATAATTAATTAATAATTCCGTCCCTGCATATATCTATACTTTTAGCGTAAATCACATGACTACATAGTAAGACGACATCAAAACAAACCAAATTTAATGTCACCAATATTTTATTTTGTACGTATGTTTTTTATATTTACATTATTTGTTGATTTTAAAATTTTGAGAATTTATTGAGATGACTGAACCTTTAGGTATAGGCACACATTCATCATCACTATGCACTGGGAAATACAACGTGCATGTGCATGGGTAGTGAGTGACAACGTAGTTTACGTAACAAATTCATTGAACTAACTTTTAATTCTATGTATAATAATATTAAATATACTTTGCTGATTTTACAAAATTGTCTTTTTATATCAAAGTTTCGTATGGAACGATTTGGCCAAAATTGTCGAAGGCACTTAGCCAAATTTAAGTTATACGGACTAACAATATAAAAATGATGAACGTGGTTAGTGGTCGATTAATCGTGCTTTCTCTGGTTAGTGGGGATATTAATTAGGTATTTTTGTCCCTTTCTTATTGTAGATATTCCAGTCATATCAATAATAGTTGCATTATTCTCGTAGTTTCAATATGTCATCAAACAATTTTTGTTATTATCTATTGTTTTTTGTATTTCGGCTATAATCACATTATTTCGCTATTGTTATTGTCTTGTTTGCACAATGTTGTGTAATTCTTTTCCCTATTGTTTGTTATATATGTATTTTTTTCAAACTGCTATGATATATGTTACTTGAGTCGAGGGACTTTCGGAAACATCCCTATCTCTATAAGGTAAAGATAAATTAAAGCCTGTTTATACTTTATTCTTCTCAAATCTCACTTAATTATAGTATTACACTAAATATATTATTATCGTTATATCGCAGATTTTGAGCATGAGAGACTATACTAAGATGCAAGTCCAAATTAAATGTCTCCATGTAAGAAGTGGAACCCATAACAAATTTGCATGTTACGTCGGTGTTGTTGACATAAAAATAAATACTATATACCAATTAGAGGGCAAAATGCAAATTAAATGAAGGTTCACTTCATACACACATATACATCAACTTCACTTTTTATCACATGGAGGCAAAATATTAATAGAACATTGAAGAAGGAGTTGTGGGAATAGAGAGGGGGGCCCTAGGGGGTGGG